ACGACAGACAACGACACACGGAGCAATAAGCAGCAGTGAATGGTACGAAGAGACATTGCGTGAGTCATTCCCTATTTGCACTAAAAGAAAGAAGTCCACCACCTCCATCTCGTCATCCTGCTCCTCCTCCTCCTTCACTTCCTACTCGCAATCGAGACATGATACAGCAACATGAAGGAAAGAGAGGAGAGGAGAGGAGAGGAGAGGAGAGAAAAAGAGAGAAAGAGAGAGAGAGAGAGAGAGAGAAATAGTAATAGGTGGATGAAGATAGACCTTGTCTTGAGGGTGTGTGTCAAGGCACAGCCGACAAGACATTTAATTCGAGTGATGAAGTAAACGATTCTAAAGAATTCTGGGAGTTCCAAAAAGACGAGAAAACAGATACACCATATGTTGTGTAACTCACTTTTTCCCATAAGCTTTAGTTTATTTTCCTATTACTTTTTGTTTATTTTTATTATGTAAGAAATAAAGTATACAGGAAAGTATGTATATATGCACATATATGTACGATGTTAAGTATATCAGATATGTTCCTCCATCATGATAAATGTTGATCAACAGTATTCTAAAATTCATATCGAGAGAAAAAAATAAAAAAAAAAATTTCAATTAATTCGAAATAAATTAAATCGAGAGGGAGGGAAGGGGGAATGAATGAAGATAGGGATTGATATAACTGAAAGGTAAAAACAATCGAGAGACAATCTTCGATCACATCTGCACACTTGTGCAAACCTTCGATCCATACGTACGATTCTCTTCCTTATTCGTCTTCTAATATTAGAATTCGCATAGCGTATCGGCTGACGACGTATCCAAGTATGAGAGAGAGAGAGAGAAAGAAAGAGAGAGAGAGAGAGAGAGAAAGAAAGAGAGAGAGAGAGAGAGAGAGAGAGAGAGAGAGAGAGAGAGAGAGAGAGAGAGAGAGAGAGAGAGAGAGAGAGAGAGAGAGAGAGAGAGAGAGAGAGAGAGAGAGAGAGAGAGGAGAGAGAGAGAGAGAGAAGAGAATAGAAAGATAAAAACGGCAGAAAGGAAGATAGTAATGGTGGTGGGAGAAAAACGAGAAGAGGCGGGGGCGCGATTCGATCGCTCACCTTTCGTTCCTCGTGTTATCGCAAATTTGTTCCTCTCCTACGTAAATATGCGTGCGTGTGTATGTGCATATATACACGTACGATGTGATTGCGTGCAAAAGCTGCCGACGATCGTACAGCGGTGCGCGCGCCAATTTTCTTGTCTTCGTCTCTTCGTCGTCTTCTTGTTTATTCAATTTTCGTTAGTAAACGGTAATACGTTCTATATTATATCTTACTAATATATTAAATCGTCGTCTAACGTTGTGAATATTTCCGAGCTCGCGCAAAGCCGCTCCTCCTTTTACTTGTCGCCTCGGCGACGTTCTTTACAGCACGCAACTCGAAGCGCGCACACGCCGCGAAGATCTCCGAACATGAAGATAGAAGGTAGTGGGGAGGATACACTGAACGGAATACGGCGAATTAGACGCCATTTTCAAATGTATATGCCGATAATTTTGTGTAGCGCAGCAATTTATCTTCAGTCGATAATTTTTCTCTGATGGTAATTACTCGTAAATGAGTTTTAAAATATTTTTTGATTTATGTAAATGTTTTAATCACTGATTCATCTCAAGAAAAGAATTTGACAAACGTTCACTTTATTTTGAGTACATGGTTTTCGATTTTTATATATTTTTTTACAATATTTAATGAGACAAATATATCATCACTTGTTCAAGAAAATTTTGTAAAAATCAAAAAGAAGGAATAGAATTGTAAGAGATTTAATACGAGACATTTGTTCAATTAAAATTATTCGATTAGAAAAGAGATATTCTTTGAAAAGTTTTATCCTCGATTGTTTCTTGTCATGTGTCAAGCAAATGAACTTTTACTTGTAGAGGCATGGATCATGTGACATTTCAGTTCGTACCAAAGGGTAAATCCAAATTAGCACAAAATAAATTCTATTATCCCCACTTCTATCTTCATTCTATATACTTTAACACATTTATCTAGATTAATCTTTTATCAGTGAAGTTGTATAAACAAAATAAAAAAAAACATTTTTTTCAATTATCGTACTATACATATAATTAAATCAAATAACTTAACTATTTAATATATATACTTAAAAAAGAACAAAAAAATATTAACATTCTTCCATTTTTAATTAAAATTTTTAATTAAATTAAATCACTAACGTTATTAATTTATAGTTGTATTAATATGAACTAAAAATAATTCAATAACTTTTTCAAATTAAATAATGATTTAAAGTAATAAAATTTGAATTTACTGAATAAACTTATTATCCAACACATGTGTAAGAAACATATAACATATAATAATTAGATAGCAGGGCTAATACGGCTTCGACTAAAAATGTCTTGTTAAATAATACACTGCATGTTTCCTTTTTTTCTTGTTATAAAAATCTTCGATAATATTTATATATATATCATATATATATATCATAATATTTATGTAATAATATGCACGTAAAATTAATCAGAGATAACAATTACTGAGAACATACTGAGAAAAAAAGAAAGAAAGAAAGAAAGAAAGAAAGAAAGAAAGAGAGAGAGAGAGAGAGAGAGAGAGAGAGAGAGAGAGAGAGAGAGAGAGAGAGAGAGAGAGAGAGAGAGAGAGAGAGAGAATAATTGTTTTTCTATGATTATATTTAAGTGCTTAAAGTAGAAACTTATAAGTAATAATAAGAAAAAGATAGAATATAAAAAACAATATAATTTAAAACTCAAAAATAAAACTAAATTTATAATTCTTGATTTTCGCATTTGTTGACTGCATGTCTTCCAAAAACAAAAATAGTCTACATTATTTCACCCTTTCTTTTATTTCCACATCAGGTAGCATTCCTATTTATATTCCACACATAGTAAAACAAAGAACTAATACCTTATAAAATATTTCTATATATTTACTCAAGCTTATTGTTTCGCGAATTTGGTTCATGCTCGAGTAACTACAGACTCATCGCGTGGTTTCGTTGCCGTATATATGAGTGTGTTGTGTGTATATTTATATTATTTATAAGACAATTTATCATTTAGATTTTTCAATCATATGATAGTTAATATCCTCGATATCAAACAAGACAAGCACGTTTCATGAATTCTTTTTATATATATACATCTTTTTATATATATAACTAATTCTATAGACATGATTCGTAAGCAGCACGTGATACATTCACAATAATTTCACACACACACACACACTATTACAGTCCATGAAACTCAAACGATGTGCCATAAATGCACACAAGCTTTTTTTTACAAAGAAATAACACAGATACTAGTCCTACCTTATCGACCTAGCTTTCTGATGATTATTGTACAATATAATTGAATAGAAATATTATTATTCGAATAAGCCAATATTGAAAAATGTAGGTAATATAGATAATGAAAGAAAGATGATCTGCTATTAGCTTAGAACTTTGACTTTGAAAACGAACGGGAGAAGAGCAAGAAATTTATTTTTGTTTCAAGGTACTCCTGGAAATACAGAGTTTATTTATAGGAATTCGTCCTCCGGTCGACTATCAGCAAACGCCCATAGAAGACAAGAAGAAGAAAAAGTAGAAGTAGAAATAGAAGAAGATAAAAAGAAAATGGAAAAAATGAAGAAGACGAAAGGAACCAAAAGAAAATATTTTTATTTCTGTTTTTTCTCCCCTCTCTCTTTGTATTTTATTGTTCTTTGCGGAACAATAGTTTTGCATCGTTTAAACTTATATTAAGAAAAATATAAAAATAAAAAGAAAATAAAAGGGATACCTTACGCCGAGGAGAAGTTTGGCTTGGCGGTGAATTGTGAAGCATTGCTGTGATTTCCCGAAGAACAACCCTTGTCCCTTCACGAACTTGTCCTCCAACAACGACACTTTTTGCACTCGACATTTCTCCTGAACGTCGAATTTCCATATTTTGTAAAAAATATTCGTTGATTCCTTGTTTTATTTTCTCCTTTTTCTTCTTCTTCTCTATGCGTTATGAAGATGAATTTTGTCTCAGATTGATAAAAAGAGTTGGCTTCTCTCCTCCAAATTAAAGCGCACTTTTTCTTCGTCGTATCACATTACTAATACACATTTAGATCTTTTTCCACACTTACGACCTGTAACGATCACGTATTAATACAAATTAATTAACACGATTCGTTTATTCCTTTCGACTTTGTAACCTAACACACAATTCTATAACGCAACGACGACGACTTTTAACGGCTGCTCTAGCATTCACAAACTTGAATGCGAATTCAACGACCAATCAAAAACGCCGATTTATTTGACTCGTTGCGCCACCGTATCGCTGCGTCATTTCATTACGCTATCGATAATATAGATTTCTTTTATCTTCTCGAACATAAGCGGTTAAACGTAATGTATATATATACACACATATTATCGTATTTTTATTTTATAAAAGACATAATGTTAACTAAATATATGATGGTTATATGTAATAATAATTTTCTTAAATTCTTATTTAATGCATCCTTTCTTTAGAATGATGCCATGCAAAATAGAATGGGGAGAAAAATAATTCATCAAAATTTTGATAAAAAATAAAAGTAGATAGAAAAATAATTTCTATGTAAGAAAAATCTATTTTTTTAATTTAATAAATCAAGATACAAATTTTTGTTTAATATTCTATATGCTTGATTTTAATAGATTTATTTATTCCTCCTTTCTCTACATTAAATTACACAACTGTAACTATACTATATTTTTCTAACATATTCTATTACTTGAAGGCAATTGTAATGACCAATCAAAACGACTGATTTATGTGTCTAACTTAATTGTAGTAATGCTATTCTTTCTTTGTCGATGGGTAATACAGATTTCTTTTTATCTTAATGAAAATACGCGGTAATTTCCCATATGTGAATGTGTTTTATTGTATTTTTATTATTACTTATATAAAGAGAGATATGTATAAA